AATACAAAATCCCGTCCCTCAACCCCCCAATACTAAACGGATGCATGATGAAGGCTCGCCTTCAGCGACAGTGCCAGTTACTTAGGGTTGGTAATTGATAAAAAGCTCAGCTGGAACCTGAGCATCAAAGACAGAGTGAAGAAGGCCACTATAGCCCTCTACACTTGCAAGAAGGCCATTGGGCTAAAATGGGGCATGAACCCAAGAATAGTCCAATGGATCTACCTAGCAATTACTATTGCCAATACTGCTCTACGGAGTCGCAGTGTGGTGGACTGCCCTATCGAAGGGGACCATCACTAACAACTAGGCAAGGTGCAGCGTACTGCAGCCCTAAGCATCAGTGCTCGAGACTCGTGTTGTGGTTGCCTACGCGATTTACGATATGATACGGACGTCTCGGAACTGGAACGTCCATTCCTCGTCCGTCTTTACCGTCGTTAGGCAGAATCTCTGAGACCGGTTACCCACAGTGTAGTGTGGCCAGTACGCAGGTAGGAAAATGGAAACAAAATCGTCCCCATAAAAACGGACTACTGCGTTCCAAGGTAGTATACAGATACCCCCTTTGAAACAATCATCCCTCACAAAAACAACTGGCTTGAGGGACCACCTGGTCCAAAGGGAGCCATTCGAATCTTTACTGATGGCTCAAAGCTGGACAACAAGGTCGGAGGAGGAATCTACTCCGAACAGCTGAACATAAGTTCAGGCTCCCGGATCACTGCAGTGTCTTCCAAGCAGAGGTCATAGCGATCAAGGAAGCTTTGAGCTGTCTTCAGGAACTAACCCCTGCGGCAACTCACATAAATATCTATAGTGATAGCCAAGCTGCAATCAAATCACTGAATGCGATAACAACAAGCTCGACTACCGTGGCAAACTGTCGCAAATCTCTTCATGAGATGGCGTATCAGTTCGTCATCAGCCTAATATGGGTCCCGGGCCACCAGGACATTGAAGGCAACTGTATAGCAGACGAGCTGGCCAGAGCTGGAACAACAATCCCCCTTCTCAATGATAAGGAGGATATTAGTATGCCAAATGCAGGCCACCTGCAAGCTCAAAATAAAAGAACATTTTAAACAACTAATAAATGACAGATGGCAAACTGTGCCACTATGTCGCATAACTCGGCAAACATGGCGTAACATTAATAGGAAGCGCACCGATGAGCTCTGCAAACTCAGTAGGAGTAGGTACAGCTCAGTCATACGCTCCCTTACGGGACACTGGCTAATAGGCACACATGCAAACAGGCTGGGCGCCCCATATAACGACTTCTGTCGAAGCTGTAGAGATGAGGACGAGGAGGAGACTGTGGAACACCTGTTCTGCTCCTGCCCGGCTCTCAGTAGAAGGAGACTCCAATACTTGGGCGCTCCCTTTCTAAATGACATTTCGGACATGTCTACAATTAGTCCCAGAAGGATCGCAGGCTTCGTAAGGGCATCCGGATGGGATAATGGATAAAATAGGGTCTCACGAGGGAGAAGGGAACAAAGCATGCGGTATCACAATGGGCCGAAACCGGCCTAGGTGTGTCGGGTCTCTGACAACCCCGACAGCCGCCTCAACCTAACCTAACCTACATATATATAAATAAATTGCACTAGGAAATATTTTTATTTAAAATTTTTTCTTTAATTTTTCTTTATGGTTGCTCTTGTCTCACTGATAAAGAATAAATATAACTTGTCCATTTCCTAGGTAAGACGGAGTCACAATTTAAAGTTGAGTTTTATTTTTGAGTAAAAAATAAAACTCAACGACTAATTATTATTTCTTGAGTTTTATTTTTTTTTGCTCAAAAAATAATCATTATTCATTGAGTAGTAAAATATAACTCAAAATTAATCATTATATTGTGAATATTTTGATATAACTTGACAGGTAATCATTATCGTATAATTTTTGTATACCGCTTATAATGATTACCATCCCTGCTTTGAAGTAATATAAAGTAAGTACAGATCTTACAATTTTGGCGGCTCTCAATAATATCCCGCGAAATATAACGGCAACAAATATAGCAACAAAAGTTGTATTTTATAAAAACTTTTACTTTCAGAGCTTTTTGATATATGTATTATGTTTTTAATGTAGGTTCCTCATCTAAAATGATTCGTAACGCTTTAAAACATGTTACCAACAAGAAACTCGTGAAAGAATTGAAAGCAAAGCTAGATCTAGCTTAAAAGAACATAAATTAAGTGTTCGAAGTCTGAGAAAAAATCCAGTTTAGCAAAGAAACCATGGGGCAAATTGAATACAATGTATAAAAAGCACTGGAGTTGGCCCTGATACATATATATGGATATAAATCCTGTGATCCGGAGGGAGCCAAATTTTTTTTTTCGCAAAAACTTTAGATCTTATGTAAAACGACTACCTAATGAAAAACAAAACCCTTTAACTGACATTAAAATCTAATAATCATGCTGAGACACGTATCATGGTATGTGCATGCTTTTCGTATTACGAAGGTGGTATAGTACCCGTGCCCGAATCGATGGTGAATCAACATGTCTTTGTTTTTATATAATAAAACAACAATGCTGCCTTATATNCTTGGGCTCCCCGCTCTCTGAGCGCCTCTTCTAAATTCACCGTTTTCGGAAATCCGAGCCCCTGCTTTAACCCTCTACAGCCTGTGAGGGACACGTTCCCTCACAATGTATAATGTTTTTATTGTACATAATAGTCGTTAAGTCATTTGTAAACAGATAGTTACAAGATTAGTTGTAATGGGTCGTCAAAAACACTTTAGTGGAAAAAAAAAAGAAAAAGAATCAAAACTTTAACTCCAAAAGAAGAAAGCTATTCTTATGCGAGGTAAATAGTAGGTTCCTCATCTAAAATGATTCGTAACGCTTTAAAACATGTTACCAACAAGAAACTCGTGAAAGAATTGAAAGCAAAGCTAGATCTAGCTTAAAAGAACATAAATTAAGTGTTCGAAGTCTGAGAAAAAATCCAGTTTAGCAAAGAAACCATGGGGCAAATTGAATACAATGTATAAAAAGCACTGGAGTTGGCCCTGATACATATATATGGATATAAATCCTGTGATCCGGAGGGAGCCAAATTTTTTTTTTCGCAAAAACTTTAGATCTTATGTAAAACGACTACCTAATGAAAAACAAAACCCTTTAACTGACATTAAAATCTAATAATCATGCTGAGACACGTATCATGGTATGTGCATGCTTTTCGTATTACGAAGGTGGTATAGTACCCGTGCCCGAATCGATGGTGAATCAACATGTCTTTGTTTTTATATAATAAAACAACAATGCTGCCTTATATGAAATAGAAAATGCCTTTGATTTGTGGCTTTTCGTCAGGAAAATTACCCAAAACAGACCCTATTGATAGTTCTAAGGGGTTTTATGCAATGTTTTCTCTTGCTTAGTTCCCAGATATGAAGTATGGGGAAAGTTTTTGTAGAACAGTTAAAGAAATCAAAGCAAAAGTTTAATATTTGGGGGTCCTGCCATATTTGTGGAGATGAATCCCCCAGGAAAGACGCGAACATAAGGTTACATTTTATGGCAGGACTCTGAACTTTTTATACCCGGTAATCGAAGAGTAAATGGGGATGTACATATGTAACGCAGAGATGGAAACGTTTCTGACCCCACAAAGTATATACATATATAATTGATCATAACCAATAGACGAGTCGATATAGCCATGTCTGTTCGCCCGTCCGTCTTGTTGAGCGCCTGGAGCCACCCAATTTTGTATGCTCGTCACAACTTTTATACCCGGTACTAGGTACTACATTTGTACCTTAGCGGTTTTTTGTCAAATTTTACATGTTTTCTTCATGTGTCATCTACATCAGGAACACTACTCACGCCAACACGCTCCTTTAGCTCGCCACCCTCCCCTCCTATAAGCTGCGGGACAGGGTGGGTTTAGCCACTGCAAATTAATTTCTTCATTGTGGCTATAACAATGATCCAATCGGATCCCAATTTGGTGATCTGATAGATATGGCCATTCCCTACGGAATGGCGTTTTTAGTTATCTTTTATCCTCAAAACGGTAGGTTTGGGAGGTTTTCGCCTTTTTGCGGGGGCGGAAGGGGGCGGGGCTAACTTTTTAAATACACTGGTTTCAGTGTGAGCATGTAGCAGTCTGGATGCAACATTTGGTGGCTCTAGCTCTTATAGTCTCTGAAAACTAGCCGACAAACAAGACGGACAGACGGAGAGACAGACATGGCTCTATCGACTCCGTTTATTGATGCTGATCAAGAATATATATACTGTGGTCGGAAACGCTTTCTTCTGTGCGGTACATACAACCGTTATTCGCACAAATACAATATACCCTATTTACTCTTCGAGTACCGGGTATAAAAAACAAAAACTTCGAATCTTGACACTCTTTGCCCGCCGGGTATCTAGCTTAGCATTCTAAATAATTTCAAAGCATTTTAATCTTTTTGAACATTCCCATTAATCGCCAATACGAACCGTGGCCCTGAGATATTATTCAATATTCCTAGAAGGTTTTAGGCATGTTGGTTGTTATACAACCACTCTTCTCAATCATCAACAGCAATATTCAATCAATCTGTATTTCTTTTGGTGCATCATTATAATTTTCTTCTATACATTGCCTAATAAATTTACTCCGATCAAAGCCCAAACGATAGCTTGAAAGTTAAGTTACTAAACGAAAAAGAGTTTATGATACAATATAATACACATACTCTAAATAGTCAGAACGTAACACGTTTCTCGACCGATAAAATATTACAAATTCTTTAAACTCAATCCAGACTGATTATTCATTTGTTATCGCATATGAGAAATGACTGGTTTGTGTAGTAGCAGCATAGTCATACCCAATGTTGACCACGCTTGTCCGATAACTTAACTAGCAGACTTGGCCAATCTTGATCAGACTCTTGAGATAATAGATTACCTATTAATTGCTCCGGTGCTTGGCCATGGATCTCTACGAAGCGTTCTGTGGCAAAAACGGAGCTGAAGCCCTCGGACATAAAAGCAGACAAATACTGTTAGCCAAACAATCAATCGCTGACTACAGACCCCGAGACATGGGCACCCGAAGACTAGTAATCCAGCTGCAGCTGTTGTGCTCCCTGGTACTCGTCAGCGTCAGCGCCAGTACCAGTGCCAGCTTTAGTGTCAGCCTTGAGCATCAACCAATACCCATGGCCCCCGTGAACTATGTTGCCGCATCGAGACTGCGTCGCTTAGCGGTAGAGTTCTTTGACTGCTATGAGAACATTACGCTGGCGGACATATCAATGGAAATGAATCAGGATCCCCGGGCGCTTCCTTCCGCGCAGGATCTAGAGTGCCTGGCAGACCTGATGCTACTCACAGAGAACCTGGGCTCAGCAAAGATCTGGGCACTCAGAAGTACATTAAATTTCTACATTTATGCTGGGATACCCTTTGATACCCTATCTTTTTTATTCCTTCAATTCTAAAGTGATCGATTCGTGGGGCTCACTGCCTTCAGGAGTCCTCTACGGAAACTTGAGAGACCTTGGAAACTACGACGAGTGTCTCAAGGTTGATCACGCTGTCTCCACAAGTCACAGCGTCCGGGGAAAGTACTGCTTTGCCAAGGTCTCGCTCGCCTCGAGCATTTCGTCGCTACTCAGCATGAAGGCAGCGGTCTGCTTTCCTGCATCCTGCTCAGCTGCTCACATGGACACAATGCTGCGAAGGCTGTTCGAGAAGTTGCTCAACGTGGAGATTAGTTCGGACCTGCAGTTGGTGGATGAGAGCACGTGCAGGACTGCCGAGAGGAAGCCCTATGATGGCCTCACCATATTCACCATGTAAGTTACTATCTATGCTGATATTGCTGGGTAGATTTTCTTACTCACATCCTTCCAGAGTTGTGCTATCGGTGTTGTGTGCTTTGATGGTCCTATCCACGTTGTATGACTATTTATTCATTGAGGATCAGAGTAAGTGACTGAACAGAGACTGAACCAGGTTTAAAATATATTTTTAGAATTATGCCTTAACTTCTTTTTCGTAGAACAATTTTCACCGCTCGTCAAGGCCTTCTCGGCGCGTGCGAACTCGCGTGTACTCTTCCGGATTGTGGACACCAAGTCGAGCCCCAATATTATTGACTGTCTTCACGGAATGCGTTGCCTGTCGTTCATCTGGGTGGTATACGGCCATGACTATCTAGTGGCTGCCATGGGACCAAATTTGAACTTGATCCAAGCATTTACTGTAAGCCCCGACTAACTGCCAAACACAAAAAAAGTTGAATTTATCCGCTGAACTCGATTTTTCTTGCCATAGTGGACCAAGTCTGCCTACAGCATGCTGATTCAGTATGGGGTTTACTCAGTAGATACCTTCTTCTTCCTGAGCGGATTGTTGCTTGTGGTAATCGCTCTGCGCACCATGGAGAGGTATGTTTTTACTATCATCGTCGTTATGATCAGCAGAATACTAACCGCTCGTATGCTGTTTAGGACAAAAGGAAAACTCAACATACCCATGATGTATCTGCATCGCTATCTGCGACTCACACCCGTTCTGGCCATGGCCATTCTCATCTACATGAAGATCCTGCCCATTTCAGGTGACGGACCGCTTTACGGTTCAGTTACTTTCGACAATTATACCATCTGCGAGCAGACTTGGTACTGGTCGCTGTTGTATGTTCAGAATTACGCCACGGACACAATTGTAAGTTGCCCAGGACAATGCAATAATGACATCTGATGCTTCATCTAATGGTGTTTCGAAATCTTCCAGTGCTTGGGTCATTCCTGGTATTTGGCTGTGGACATGCAACTATACATTATTTCACCTCTCCTTCTGATTGCCCTGTACAAATGGGGCAAAAAGGGAGCGGCTGCTATCTCTGTTCTAATGCTGCTACTGGCTGCGGGCCTTTTTATCACAATGGTCATTGGCAAGCACTCCATGTAAGTGAGGACACTATAGGACATAGCAAATCGATGGATGCAGATGAACGGATCGGGCCAGGCCTTTGGGCCGTTGCCTTCTCCCGCTTGGGATTTCTCCCTGCAGGCATTTGGGGAGTGCCTCTCTCGTTTTTGTTTTTGTTGTTGTCAATATTTAGTAGTTTATCCATTTAATTCCCACGAGCTGCAGAGAATGGGTACGGTCCACCCCGGCAGAGCTCTGCGTTACCCGGGTAAGGCATAATTTTAACAGGGGGCTGCCAAGTCCCTGAGCTTTCCGTTCACGACTAGGCTAGTTTTTATACCGGGCCCCCAGCCAGGCTGACTCTTGGCACGGGTCGAGTGACACCTTAGTCCGGCCCGGTCTGAGGTGAGTGTTGGGGCTGGGATGTGGGTAGGTGTTGTGTAGGGATGGGATTGTGTGAGCTACTTAATGAGAGGCGGCACCACAAGCGCATCGTCAGTGTTGCTGCGTCGGGAACACCCGCTGGCTGTCCGGGAATGCTTATTTCGGTACTCTCCCTCAGAGCCAACTTAGTTAATGCTCTTTAAGATGCCCGCTTATTCGCAGCTGCCCTACCCACTGGGGTAGGCCGTTCGCTATCCGCAACCTGCGACCCGTCCGGTGGCCTCAGCTAGGCCCCCTCTGAGCCACCTCAAAGCCCAATAGGATCATCGGACTGTATGACGATCTTAATCGTCTTGTGGACAATTTCACGGAAGCTTGTAACAAGGCCTTCATGGCAGCTTGCCCCTCAACCAAACCAAGAGGGAAAATGAAACCCCCTTGGTGGTCTAAACATATAGATACCCTCCGGAAAGACTGCAGGACTCTCTTTAGCGCAGCCAAAAGCAGCAGCGAGGTAGCGCACTGGGAAAATTACAAAAGTAAGCTAACCCTATACAAAAAAGAAACAAGGAGAGCAAAAAGGGCCTCTTGGCAAACATTTTGATCCGAAATTGAGGACACGTCAGAAGCCGCAAGGCTACGCAAGAACCTGTCAAAAACATCCCCCCTTGGTGGGATATCTCAAGAGAACTGATGGTACGTGGACAAACTCTAGTGAGGACTCCCTACACATTCTACTCGATACTCATTTTCCTGGGTGTACGACCATCAAGCCGCAGACACCCCAAGTGAAGGCCTGGAAACCTCTATGGGGCACATCCTCACAAAACGGAATATTAGCTGGGCAGTAAACAGCTTTAAATCCTACAAATCACCTGGCCCGGACCAAGTCATTCCGGCTCAGCTACAAAAAGCCGGGGACATGGCCATCAACTGGCTGCAAAGTATCTTCAGGAAGACACTGACAGTGGGAAAAATCCCCCGCGCTTGGCTAAAGGCTAAAATAGTCTTTATCCCTAAAGCAGGGAAACCCTCACACACAACCCCAACTCCTTCTCAAAACCTTTGAAAGACTAGTAGGGCTGCAGCTGAGGACAACCATTAATCCTCAGTGGCTGTCAGGCGCCCAACATGCCTACCGAAAAGGGAAATCCACGGAAACGGCACTCCATGAAGTAATCTCGGCGGTAGAGAAATCTCTACACGTCAAAGAATACTCCTTAATCGCTTTCCTAGACATTGAGGGAGCTTTTAACAATGTCNAGGAAAACTCAACATACCCATGATGTATCTGCATCGCTATCTGCGACTCACACCCGTTCTGGCCATGGCCATTCTCATCTACATGAAGATCCTGCCCATTTCAGGTGACGGACCGCTTTACGGTTCAGTTACTTTCGACAATTATACCATCTGCGAGCAGACTTGGTACTGGTCGCTGTTGTATGTTCAGAATTACGCCACGGACACAATTGTAAGTTGCCCAGGACAATGCAATAATGACATCGGATGCTTCATCTAATGGTGTTTCGAAATCTTCCAGTGCTTGGGTCATTCCTGGTATTTGGCTGTGGACATGCAACTATACATTATTTCACCTCTCCTTCTGATTGCACTGTACAAATGGGGCAAAAAGGGAGCGGCTGCTATCTCTGTTCTAATGCTGCTACTGGCTGCGGGCCTTTTTATCACAATGGTCATTGGGAAGCACTCCATGTAAGTGAGGACACTATAGGACATAGCAAATCGATGGATGCAGATGAACTATGAACCAGTTATATTTTCTTAATTATTTCAGTTTTTCCCATACCAGCGATGCAATGCCAACGATATACTTTTCCACGCACACTCGGGCCTCGCCATATCTTGTAGGTATCCTCTTCGGTTACTTCTTGCACGCGAACCGGGGCGTTGCGGTAAAACTTAACCGCACTGTGGTTTCCCTGGGCTGGCTGATAAGCCTTGCCCTGCTCTTCACCTGCATTTTTTCGTTATATGGATACCACAACAACAACAAAGCTCTGCCTATTGTGAATGAGGCCTTCAATCTGACACTGACACGCATTGCGTGGCCCCTGGGGCTGTGCTGGGTAGTGTTTGCCTGTATGCACGGCTATGGCGGCCTGGCCAACAGCTTCCTATCGTCGCCACTGTGGCAGCCTCTGTCGAAACTTTCCTACTCCGCCTACATCTTTCACATGTTCATCGAGAGTCTCAACGGTGGCATTACGCGCACCAACACCTTCTTCAGTGACTATCAAGTGGTAAGTACAGATGTCATTTGATTGCGCGGAGACAGCTAAATACTTTCACCTGACTCTAGATGCTTCGTTTCTGGGGCGACTTTGGTTTGACACTGCTGCTCGCCTTCTTCGTTTACATTCTAATCGAGGCACCATTCGGTAATCTGGAAAACCTCTTGCTGTCCACTCACAGGACCAAAAAAAAACAGCCTGACCTCGACGCGCAGCAAAAGACCGTCGGGGCCATCGAAGCACCAGCGACTGATTCCACACCTGCTCCTGCTCTAGTGACGATCTCGCCCCTGCCTGAAGTAAGAACCAAAGAGAAACCAACGAACAATTAGTTTTAAATTTTCATTTTAATAATAGTTTTAAACATTTTTTTCTATTAATATAACATTAAAAGGTACATACATATAATGTAAATAAGGAAATTTTGTTCCCTTCATTATATATATGTTAATTCCCTGCATATTATTGTAATTTTGAGAGAACATTCAAGACCCACAGGTGAACACATCATAGTTTCGATTTTGAAACACAAACTCTTTGAATCTTATAAAAATGGCATATGTACATACGTGCATAATTTACACATTCATCTTTTGCAAGTTTAAATCAAATTTAAAGTCTAAAGTATCACTTCGCATATCGTATACAAAATTAATATGCGTAATGTGAAGCTGAAACGCGTCACAACTTTTATACTCGGTACTCCCAGTCAGTGTTGGTGGGAGAAGTGTTGCAGATGTAGATGACAGATGTAGAACAAATTTTAAATTAAAAAAAATACATGTAACGCACAGAAGAAAACGTTTCGGACCCCATAAAGTATATATATTCTTGATCAGCATCAATAGCAGAGTCGATACAAGTGTATTTAAAAAATGAGCCACGCCCCTTCCGTCCCCGAAAAAGGGCGAAAACCTCCCAAATCTACAATTTTTAAGATAAAAGAAAACTAAACTAAAACTAACTAAACTAACTAAAACGCCATTCCGTAGGGAATGACCATATCTATCAGATCACCAAATTGGGATCCGATTGCATCATTATTATAGCCAGAATGAAGAAATTAATTTTCCGTGGCTAAACCTACCCTGTCCCGCAGCTTTTGTTGTTTTTTTCACATTTTCTTTCACACACAGCTTCGTGTAGTCAGCGGCCTCTGCCTCTGCAGCGAGTCTGCAGTGTGTGTATCTAGGGAAGGGGGGCGAGCCAAAGCAGCGTGTTGGTATGAGAAGTGTTGTAGATGTAGATGCCAGATGAAGAAAAAATGTAAAATTTGCCAAAACACCGCTAAGGTGCAGATGTAGTACTGAGTGCCGGGTATAAAGTTGTCACGCGTAAGAAAAGTCTCACACGTCCCTTCTCGTTTTACCTGTATTTGTTAATAGTCTTTCCTTGGCAAGAAATCTTCCAGCTTTCTCTTTTTTTCCAAGCCATATCAAAAACTATCGCATGGTGTTGACTGCCACGCAAAAAAAAACTTTCGCATGTCCACTTTTCTATTTTCCTTTCACAAAAGTCAGATCCAATACAGAGCCTGCATGTGTGTCAATGTTTCTTCTGAAAATAACACTGCCATCAGTTGCCAGTATGTAACCCGCATTATTCATAGCCTGCCTAAAAAAGGTTCCTTTCCTGGTATTGACTGAGTCTCCAAAAGCATTGTGTATTGCATCGAAGTCTTCTACTATAACGCATCTTTCAAATGAATCAAGGTTCTCTAAGAGCCTGTCTGTTGTCTGCTTAAAAATGGTGAGTGGTATCAGAGGTTCAAAGTATGCAGATGAGATGAGTAGATTTATTCCGTCTCCACTAGTTTTTGCTTATATCTTGATTGGTTTCAAAATGAGTTTTTTTAGATTTAAATCCCTTTTATGAGCGATGGCCACCGCTCCACTGCCATCTTCTCTGTGTTTTTCAATAAGATTATAATTTGCTATTAATAATAAAATTATATATTTGCTATTTTTCTAAAACTGAGATCATAATAGAATACCTCCGCCAGAATGGTAATGATGACGTACTCACTGTTAAGGAAAAATTCTAGATCATTATACCCGGTACTCGAAGAGTAAATAGCGTTCTCTCATTCACACTCTGCATCTGCTTCACTCGGCCCCTGCCTCTGCCCTCCCCCTGCCGATGCCTCTTCCTACCACTAAACCACCCCGTCCCGAATCTTATATTTGTTTGTTTTTTTTGTGCGATCGCCGCGTCTGCCTTTTGCCGCTAGTCTGCAGTATGTGGGTCTTGGGAAGGGCGGCGAGCGTGTTGGTGTGAGAAGTGTTGTAGATGTAGATGACAGATGAAGAAAAAATTTAAAATTTGACAAAACACCGCTGAGGTGCAGATGCACTATTGTCACAATGACCAGTTTTGGTGGCTGTTTACGCCAAATTAGCGCAAAGGGCTTATGGCCGGGAGCAATTTATATTTTGTATAAGTAAAATGAATTTGTAGCATTAAGATATTGAACTGTTGCATTTACGACATACTCACAGAAGTTTGTTGCTATAGAACATACATGTAATATGTGAATACGATAGATAAAGAGGAAGAACATGCATTTAATAGGTGAATATCGAAATTGAAAAGAAGAAGAGATTAAATTGATTTGAATTCCGACTCGGTCGAACAGCAGCACTTGGCTTTTTATTTCGAGATTTTGATTCTGAACTGCGAGGAGTTGCGCAAACAGTGGCCAAAAGCTAATTTTTAAAAGTTAAAACCAGACTCGGGTTTTAGCGCTCTGTATTAGAAAAAGAGTGACCATCAAAGTTGCGTACAAGAAATTTTCATAGACTTTCGAAAAATCTGCTGTGAAACCTAGCGGTCATTATTGCACAGAATGTGCAGGGAAAAAGTACACATTTTATTGCTGTTATAAATGTCTCATAAATTGGAAAATACAATTAACTGATCCAATATTTTTGATGCATTTTATCTAGTAGGCTTTTTACTACGTGTTCTGTTATTTGAACGATATCTAGTGGTTGGCGATTACAAATGTAAGGGGTGAGTCACTTTTCAACTTCATCCTACACTCCAACCTAATTATTGGTAATCGGGGTAATGACCCCACTTTTATCATAAAAACCGTCAAGAGGTTATTGACCGCACTCTATTGTCTCACAAACTGTCAGACATAATGAAAAGTTGGAGAGTCCTAGAGGACCACTCCTTCTCCGACCACAGGTACATCGAGACAATCCTATCGCTCGAAAGCACCACACCCACTAGCTATATAAACCCAAGAAAAGCCAACTGGGATACGTATAGTGCAAAAATGGAGGACTTACTCCCCCCCCCCCCCCCCCCCCCCCCCCTAGCCACAAAATGCCCGGACACACAATCGTCTTGTGGACAATTTCACGGAAGCTTGCAACAAGGCCTTCATGGCAGCTTGCCCCTCAACCAAACCAAGAGGGAAAATGAAACCCCCCTGGTGGTCTAAACATATAGATACCCTCCGGAAAGACTGCAGGACTCTCTTTAACACAGCCAAAAGCAGCAGCGAGGTAGCGCACTGGGAAAATTACAAAAGTAAGCTAACCATATACAAAAAAAAAATAGGGAGAGCAAAAAGGGCCTCTTGGCAAACATTTTGCTCCGAAATTGAGGACACGTCAGAAGACGCAAGGCTACGCAAGATCCTGTCAAAAACATCCCCCTTGGTGGGGTATCTCAAGAGAACTGATGGTACGTGGACAAACTCTAGTGGGGACTCCCTACACATTCTACTCGATACTCATTTTCCTGGGTGTACGACCATCAAGCCGGCAGAAACCCCAAGTGAAGGCCCGGAAACCTCGATGGGGCACATCCTCACAAAACGGAATATTAGCTGGGCAGTAAACAGCTTTAAATCCTACAAATCACCTGGCCCGGACCAAGTCATTCCGGCTCAGCTACAAAAAGCCGGGGACATGGTCATCAACTGGCTGCAAAGTATCTTCAGGAAGATACTGACAGTGGGAAAAATCCCCCGCGCTTGGCTAAAGGCTAAAATAGTCTTTATCCCTAAAGCAGGGAAACCCTCACACACAACCCCAACTCCTTCTCAAAACCGTTGAAAGACTAGTAGGGCTGCAGCTGAGGACAACCATTAATCCTCAGTGGCTGTCAGGCGCCCAACATGCCTACCGAAAAGGGAAATCCACGGAAACGGCACTCCATGAAGTAATCTCGGCGGTAGAGAAATCTCTACTCGTCAAAGAATACTCCTTAATCGCTTTCCTAGACATTGAGGGAGCTTTTAACAATGTCATACCGGAAGCCATCACAGAGGCCCTGGCTGACCTGTGAGTGGATTGTCACTTGGTGATGCTCATAGATCAATTGCTCACATGCAGGACAGTGACATCATCAATGGGATCGTCTACTCAGTCAAGGTATGTCAACAGAGGCACCCCGCAAGGCGGTGTCCTGTCTCCCGATGATACCTTGTATCGTCAGTTATTCTAAGACACACTGGACCTTCCCCTCCCGACATTCCACCATCGTATGCGCCTGCTGCAACGGTAATAGAAGAGCCCTTTTAAGGGAGTTTGTGAGACGCTTAATTACTGGCGCTTCGAGCGCGTTGACAGTCTTACCTGTTTCAGCGCACCTGACCCTTAATTAGGGAGATTTTCGGAACTTGTGTTGTTTACAACCAAATACAAAATCCCGTCCCTCAACCCCCCAATACTAAACGGATGCAGGCTCTCCTTCAGCGACAGTGCCAGTTACTTAGGGTTGGTAATTGATAAAAAGCTCAGCTGGAACCTGAGCATCAAAGACACAGTGAAGAAGGCCACTATAGCCCTCTACACTTGCAAGAAGGCCATTGGGCTAAAATGGGGCATGAACCCAAGAATAGTCCAATGGATCTACCTAGCAATTACTATTGCCAATACTGCTCTACGGAGTCGCAGTGTGGTGGACTGCCCTATCGAAGGGGACCATCACTAACAACTAGGCAAGGTGCAGCGTACTGCAGCCCTAAGCATCAGTGGAGCTCTGAGCACAACACCAACGGATGCGCTAAATGCTATACTATGCCTGCAGAGCCTTGACCTTGCAGGTAAGGAGCAGGCAGAAATGGCAGCAATCCGTCTTAGAGACTCTGGCCAATGGGTGTCACATCACACCGGTCATGCGTCCATCCTAAATGGAAACAAAATCGTCCCCATAAAAACGGACTACTGCGTTCCGANATAGCAGTCAATAAGATTCTGTGTGACCTGGAAGGGGAGGGCTGTAAGGTGGTAGCATACGCGGACGACGTTGCCATTATCTTCTCGGGAAAATTCCCTCAAACACTCTGCGAATTAATGACCGCGAAGCTCGCGCAACTGTCAGAATGGAC